CTCTATTCTAAGGTTCCAGATTTTATCCCTAATTCCTACTCTGCCCTGGATTATCTGAACTAAGAATCATAGAGACAGTTACATAGAAGAGAAGCAGAGCCAATGAAAAACACATTCTTTTGAGCTCTGGAGTGTCCCAGGAACTTCACCAGGTGGTGAGAATATAGCAGTTAATGGAAAATTCCTTGGCATTTGTCCTTTGAAAAAAACAACTCTACTATCTAATGCCCAAAGAACCCCAAATCTGATGAAGCCAAGACTTGTGTTCATACTCTGTGCCCCCTATAGAGAGTCATTTGCCTTAAGGCATAACTGAACAGAGAAACACTCCCATCCAAAAGGAATTTTCTACTACATTTTTCTGGTTAACTTCAAATAAAATTATTGCCCTTAAAGCACTCTGTAAGGATTCTTGGCTGGGTCCATACACTGTTGTATATCATGATCTGAAGCCCTGAAGCAAATCAATGACAGCACATATTGGGCCATTCTGATCCATATTATCCCATTATAGTGATTCTCAAAGTTTAATATGGATAAGATTCAACTTGGTATACATTTTCTGCTACTGGACTGGTGAGATAGCTCAGTGGACTAAGTGCCTGCTTTGGCAAGTGTCAGGGACCAGGATTCGATCCTAGGTCCTGCATGTCACACCAGCCCCACCCCTGGGCAAGCTGAGCCAGCAACCCAGTCCGGGTGTGATGATGCATGCCTGTAATCCCACCACTGGGGATGCTGAAACAGGAGGATCAGTATGAGTCTGAGTTATGCATGAGACCCTGCACCAAATACATAAATGAAAGACAAAAATAAACGAAAACAAATTTCCTGCTAATTATGTCCTGATTTGGTAAAGAAAGTACTAGAAATTTGTGTTTTAATCAAACTACCAAATGATTCTAATATGAGAGGCCTGCTCACCATATTTTGATTGATTTTTCTTAATTTTTAAGTCTTTCTTCTAATATTTTATTTCTCCTTAAGGGCCAAAGAGGGACATGGTAGGAGTTGGCTCCATTTATGAGACAGGGAAGATGAGGAAATTTGTGGCTAGAGGAGTGCGTAGAACTAAGAATTCTATTTGGTTTCATTAAAAAAGAGGCATTTATATGTGGTTGTCCAGGAAGGAAATAGACTCTGCTGGTCTGGAGCTCAGAGCAGAACTATGACCTAGCAATAGTAATTAATCAGAGGGTTTCGGGCACGAAGATGATGACTAGAGTCAGAAAGGGCGCGGGCACATACAGTGAAGGTGTGGCTGAGAGGAGCGTCAAGAACCATGGCCCGAAACTGCCCACAGTCAGAGAAAATTTAGAGAAGGCAGAGCATTTGAGAAGGGCTGAAGGGAGTTACTGCTGAAGTAGATGAAAAGGAGGGAAGTACAGTGTTGGGGAAAATCAGCATGGGAAGTATTTCAAGAAAGAAATGTGGCTGACCATAGAGGACAGGTAAGATACTATTTTCAAAGTTTGAAACTTCTATAAGAAAGTCTGGGCTCGCCAGATAGCTCAGGGCACTAACACATCAGCTTAGGTAGGTGCAGGGACAGGGGTTCAATCCCTAGCCTGCCATGCTGGCCCCACCCTGGGGCGCACTGAGACAGTGACTGCAGTGGGGTGAATGGCATGTGCCTGTAATCCCGGTTCTTAGGAGGCTGAAAACAGGAGCATCGCTGCGAGTCTACTCTGTGTAGTGAGACCCTGTAGACCCTGTACTAAATACATTAAAGAAAAGCAAAAAGTCACTCAAAGTTAAAAATCAAGCAGAAGGTGGGGAGATGTATTTAAAAAAATTACATAACAAATGATTAATATATAGAGAGTATGATTAAAGAACATCCAGAAATTAATAAGAAAACTACAGCAGAATTGGTAGAAAAATGACCGATCAGAGGAAGATGTGGATCCTACAAGGATAAATATGCCCAGTAAAGAACTCGTTTAAAAGAGGATCGGCTGGATAAAGCATCTGGGACAAGTGAGGTGAAAATGTGTTTAAGTGTACCAACAATATTTGTTATTGGTGAGGGGAAGGAGCACTCCCAAACTCTTTCAGCAAGAAAGCAAAGTTCCAACAACATTACAGGAGGTTAATTTTATGACGAGAACATTAAAATCCTAAATGAGCATATACGGTAATAAGCCAACTTCACTTTTGGTAGTTATCTCAGTACTGGCACATGCACAAAGAAATGTGCTCAAGTGCATTAAAAATAGTATAGTTTGTGATAGCAGGAACTGCAGACACCTACCAGCCCATTAATGACATATAATTAAATACATCTTAGTTTATATTTTTAGTACAGAAGATTATGAAACAATTTAAAAAGAACGAGTTATATCTATATGCTCTCCAGTGAGGATATCTCCAGAACGAGATATGGAAAAGCGCACACACAGTGGTCCTGCTTATACAACAGAACAAGGAGGCGTGGCTTCATATGCCTTTGGAAATGTTCATAAACACAAAAAGGAGATCACCAGACGAAAAGTCGTTGTTCTTGAAGAAAATGGTACAATGGGCAAGTTACAATGGATTTTGATTTTCACTGATTTGGTGTTATAGTTCTTGAATTCATCTGCTTTTGTGATTCAACTTGTGGAATCCTTAAGAAATCGTTAAAATTTTCTTAAACTGCATTAAGTCAAAACAACTGATGTGAGGAAATAAGATTACAGTGTGTTCATTTATTCACCAAGAGTTTAAGCATATATATATATATATCCTGTAATCCCAGAGTTTAGGAGGCTGAAAACAGGAGAATCACTATGAGTCTATTCTGTGTAGTGAGACCCTGTTTAATATATTACCGTATATGCTCATTTAGGATTTTAATGTTCTCGTCATAAAATTAACCTCCTGTAATGTTGTTGGAACTTTGCTTTCTTGCTGAAAGAGTTTGGGAGTGCTCCTTCCCCTCACCAATATATATATATATATATATATATATATATATATATAATATCAGGGAATCAAATAGGCAAAATCCTTGTCCCTTTAAGAATTACTCTGTAGTGGATATTCAGGTATGAAACAGTCTTTTCTTCTCTATATAGATTTCTCTTTCCCTTAGAGATTTTGGATCCTCACATAATAATATCCAAGCAACCTTTTGCCCTTTCTCAATCTCATGAAGAAGTGCAAAGAATAAAGTGTATAGGGCAGCAGGAAAACAACAATAGTATTAGTAAGATAGTCTTTCTTGGGCTACCCTAGAAACTTGAAAGTTATTTACATAATAATGTCTATGGGAAAAAGCCACCACATTCTAAATAACTGACTTCTAAGCATACTGCTAGAGTATACACTGCCAGTTGTTGACAGCCTGTACTTAGGCAACTATGAGCTTAAATAGCTAAGAGCTCACTGGCACCCACACAGAAGTCCTCGTACACATACTTTGTGGTTGGACTTTTCTATGACACGCACTAAGACATATTCACTCATAAAGAACAGCAGCCTCCAGGAGTAGCCTTTGAGGCCCTTCCCCCACCAGCTGGAGCCTCCATACCATGCCAGGCTTTAGCTACAAGTCTGCCCACACTAGAAGCTGAAAATTGAATTCATGCTTCTGAGCAGCCTCAGAGACACAGCATTTGCACTCCACAGCAATTCCTGTTCTCTGCTCTTCATCTTACATGTATTTGCAGCTACTGGAACAAATTAATATTATCCTCATAATAAAAGTTACATAATTATTTAGCATGCTGACATAGATCTTGAGGCCAAGAAAAGTTGTCATTGATAATTTATCTTTGCTGCAAGTTGACCGTATGTGTAACACATGGCTTGTCACAATTGAAGACATTTCTAGCCCAAGGGAGCCAGAAAGCTCTCAAGATTCAGGAAAAGGCACCATAACTAGCCACTAGGTATTCAACATTCAATTCCAAAGTCATTCCCACCTCCACCCAACTGAGTGATCTTGAGTAAGTCACCTGACCACTCTGCTCTTTCATATTCCATTTCTTTCTTCATATTAAACTGCCTGCTGCATCTTGAATGGCTTTCGGAATATCTCATCTTAAATTCTTCTAGAATGCTATTTTATGAAACTATCCTTGCATTTCTTAGGCCAACTCAACTTTCTTCATATTTGTAAATCTATTCCAAATTGCCCATGCCTCCATTATATAATTTATCATATGGCATTATTATGGTAAATTTATTATTCTATTTATTTTAGTTTACCATATTATTTCAGGTTATCAGGTAATCTATAATTATTATTGGTTGTGGTAATATTAATAAATGTATTTGTAATGCTAGGAAAATTATGTGTCAAACCCTAAAAATACATTATTTCTAATTGTCATAAAACCTTATGAGAATGGTAATATTATATCATTTTTAGAATGATAGTATCATTATTATCATTTTTATAGTTGAGGACAATACATGGAAGAGAGATTATATAGATTGATAGGTAGGTCTCTGAGACTTATGATAAAAGTCTATTTTACTTTAATCCCATGCTTTTAATCATTACCTTAAAACAGTACTTTATTTTATTTTATTTTTTGTGGTACCAGGGATTGAGCTCAGGACCTTGCACTTGCCAGGCAAGTGCTTATTATACTGAGCTACCTCTCTGACCCCCTTAAAACAATACTTTAAATAACAGTAGATAACACTTACTAGATGTCATGCTCAGTACTGTGTACTGTACATATATTAACTAACTTGACCTTCACAAAACCCCCCTGATGTAGATTTAGTGATTGTAGTATCATATTTTCAAGGACATGCAATAAGGCTCAGAATGACTGAAGACCGGTCCAAGGTAACAGAACTTGGAGACTGGATTTTAATGCAAATTTTTCTTCTTTCAGAAACTGTACCCTCACCCCCTACTCCATTCCGTGGTAGAATCCTATTTAATCTTTGCAAATACCGTTCAGGTTTTCAGGAATAATGCCCCTGGAAATAGAAACCTGGAACATAACCACTTCTGAATAATGCAAAATAAGAAGTTGACTCAGTCCCTAAATACTCACCTTAGTACATGTGTGGATCCATTAATGGTTGTGGTTGAACAAGGGATAGTCTGGCCCAGAATGGAAGGTCTTCGGTAGCGTTCATCATCACAGCAAAGAATGATTAGGAAGGCACGTCTAAAAGACTTATTCAAGAAGGCGTAGAGAAAGGGGTTCAACCCGGAATTGATATAGCCGAGCCACAGAAAAGCAGTCCACAGCTGCCCAGGGACAGTGTAGTCTATGAAAGGATCCACGATGTTGGTGACAAAAAACGGAGCCCAGCAGAGGCAGAAGCAACCCATGATGATGCACAGGGTCTTGGCTGCTTTGGTCTCTGTCCTCATGCGATGAGTGCTGTGCTGCTCAGCCGGCTGGGGCCTGCCCTCCAAGGGGGCGCCTGCCCCGCCCGCCCGTTGTAACATCTGGATCTGGTGGGCATGCTCCTTGGCCGTGACATAGATGCGATAATAGGCCAGCACCATGAGGAAAAACGGGATGTAGAAGGCTACCACAGAGCATGTGATGGCGTAGGGCTTGTTTACCATGAAGATGCAGTATGTAGAGTTGGAGTTCTGATTGAATTTCCTTTTTTCTATCTGAGAATTGGAAACGGAGAGAAAATGAGGCAGGGAGGGAAAAAAGAGTAGGGAAAATAAATAGAAGAAAAATGTAACAAAAGAAGTGAAAAGATAAAGATAAAAAATAAGGAAAGGAAATACAGAAAGAAGAAGAGAAGAAAAAGGACAAAAGAAAAAAGATGATGTCAGCAAATCTTTGCTCATGTTATAATCCATACATCAGAGAATTTTGATGGTAGAAGAACATAAATCTATCCCAAGGCTCAGAAAGTTGTATATAGCAAGATGGGCTGAAGGCTTCAGTGAAGAGTAGAAATACAATGGTAATAATCACTTTTTATTCTATTCACTCACCAATAGTGGAACTCTGCCCCCTTCTCCCTACATTTTCTACTTGGATATATTATATCAGCATCTCACAGCCTAACTGGTCACCTTGACAAAGTGTCTGTGGGTCAGTAACACTGGAATCACTGTGGTGCTTATTGCGAGTGTGGAGTCCTGGGCCCTCACATAGATATTGGATCTAAAGCTCTGGACAGTGAGGCTGAGACTTTTGTGTTATAAGCAAGTTGGTTAGTTAGTTGGTTGGTTTGTTTAGTTAGTTGGTTAGTAGTTAGTTAGTTCACGCTGACCTTGAATTCACTATGTAGCCCAAGCTGACCTCAAACTTGGGGTGATTTTCCTGTCTCAGCTTCCTGAGTGCTGGGATTATAGGTATGTGCCACCATGCCTGATTAATAATTTTAAAGTTTATTAGTATTTGTGAACTTTGGATGTATATAATTCTAAAGCTAGACCTGTGGAAGATACAAAGGGAACCTTTCCAGACTAAATCTCTGAGCACTGAGCATCCTGATGGAGGCATAATCTCATTTAGATTACATAACACTTAAAATACTAATACACAGTGAAGCCCACAGGGCACCTTAGGACTTGGGCAAAGAAACAGTAGATGGCTTAAATTCATGACAGACAAGAATACAGATTTCCCCCTTATCTCTGGTTTCACTTTTTAACGCATCTTTACCAACAGTTACCTTTAGTTACCTGTAGCTCACTGCAGTTGAAAAATTCCCCAAATAATCAGCTCAAGAGTTTTAAATTGTGTATCATTCTGAGTAGCATAATGAAATTTTACACAATACTGCTGTGTCCCTCCCAGTTGTGTCATCCCCTTCCCTAACATAGCTACACTCATTACTTAGTTGGTAGCCACTTTGGTTATTCAGTTGGCTATGGTAGTACCCCAAGTGTTGCGCATTCAAGAACTAATTTACTTCATAGTGACCCAAAGTGCAAGAAGAGTGATTCTGGCAATCTTATCACAGAACATAGCTATCATTTTCAACTTCATTGTCATTTTGTCAGTCTCCTACTATGCCTAATTTATAAGTTGTACTTTTCAGATTTCTTTTTCCCAGTGATACCACAGACTGAACAGCTTAATGTTGAAGCACATCCCCAGGCCTTTTACTTGATTTATTTTTATCTTGAGACAGGGTCTCATTAAGTCACTGAATTGTATTCCTACTGCATCAGCCTTCCAGAGTGCTGGGTTACAGATGTGTGCCCTTGTACCCCCTTAGTAATATTTTATCATAGGTACATATGCACAGAGAAAACATATATAGAAAGTTTGGCATTATTCATGATTTTATACATCTCCCAGGTTCTTGTAATGTATCTTGCATGAATAGTAGGAATTACCAGATATAGACTGAGTAGGGCTGGACCCTTAGGGAACCTAGAATCCAACTGGAGTTGAGGCCTAAGCATGACTACATCTCATTTTCTGCTAATCCAAATCCATCTGGATGCTTAATCCAACCATTTCACTAAAACTCCTCTGGTCAAAGTTATTAATTATCTCTATTGTGGCCGAGTCCAGTCTTCATTTTAAATAAGCCCTCTATTCTTTGACCCACCTGAGCCCTCCATCCTCCTCAACTTGAAGTACAATATTTACAATATACTTATGAGGTACATAATACTGAACATACATACAGATGGATGAATAATTACAAAGTAGACATACATGTGCAACTATTATTAAAATACAGTTATGGAATATTGTTAGCACTCCCAAACCTACTTATTGTCCCTCTTAGGCACTATTGTACCCAAATGTCGCCACTAATCTTTAACATCATAAACTAATTCATTTTCCAGATTAATATAAAATAGCTATAAAACATATGAATTTTATATAACTTGATATTGTATAGCTCATATTACTTTGAGTATCTAAAAATAAATTTATTTTTTACATTGCAGTATAATACACTTAATAATGTTAACTGAAATAAATCTGACAGAGAAAGTTAAATATCACAGTTTCTTTTATAGGAGAAACTCCAAATATAAGTAATAAAAGAGTAAAATGGTAGGAAAGAGGAAAG